CAGTCGGGACAGGGCAAGACCGCCTTCCTGGTATGAGTCCCGGGTCTGATGCATGGGGACTGCGGAAGGTTCTGAGTAGCTAAGGAGGTGGGGCCAGGTACATGTGCAGGAAATGTGCCCACGTCCATGCCCCTGTCCACGCAGGCATCCCTTGTGTCAGCACTGCGGGCTCCAGCTGGGGCCAAGGTGGCTCCGTCTGTCTTCTTCCACTTCTCAGGAGCCCGGCCCGACCAGGGTCTTGCCCTCAACCTGCTCAGGCGCCTGTGTACCTACCTGCAAAGACAGCTGCAGGAAGCCAGTGCCCTCCCCAGCACGTACAGGTGTGTACAGTCCCTGTGCTCCGCTCTGCATGCTGCAGTTCTCCAACCCTGACGCCAACTGCCTTTGCCCACGCAGGGGCCTGGTGTGGGAACTTCAGCAGAAGCTGCTGCCCACCTGCGCTGAGACCCTCCAGCCCAGCCAGACCCTGGTGCTGATCATTGACGGGGCTGACAAGTTGGTGAACCAGAACGGGCAGCTCATCTCAGACTGGATCCCAAAGTCCCTTCCCAGGGTGAGCACAAGAAGGAACTGGGGTTGGCAGGTCAGGGGGAGGAGGGACGCCTAGGAGGCGAGTGATGCTCCAATATGGTTTCTTGTCTTTCCCCTGCTTCTTGGCCCCCAATCACAGAGGGTACACCTGGTGCTGAGTGTGTCTAGTGACTCTGGCCTTGGCGAGACCCTTGAGCAGAGCCAGGGGGCCCATGTGGTCGCCCTGAGGCCTCTGGACCCACCTGACCGAGCCCAGCTGGTGAGGGAGGAGCTAGCACTATATGGAAAGCGGCTGGAGGAGTCACCTTTCAACAACCAGGTTGGACTTGGGCCAGGGCTTGGTGGGTTCTGGGGTGGCTCTAAGTAAGCTAGGAAGACTTGGGGTGCTGAGAGTGTCTGTCCCCATGCTGTGTTGCAGCTGCATTGTTTTCTGAAGCTCTTTTCACTAGGGGTGTTGTTGATATGACTGTCTCTCCAGGACTCATGGGGGAGTGGACAATAAACTGCTTACTGAGGCGCAGGGTGGACTGAGCCTGTGTCATGTCAGAGCGGCTGCCAGGAGGTGGGAGGGGTGCTGGACCCAAAGCCCCACGATGGGCAGTTTCCTCATGGGTCTCTCTGAGAAGGAGCTGCTTGTAGTGAGCTTGGTGCTGGGGACAGGGGCAGGCTCCTGGTGCCCAGGCTGAGTCCTGTGCATCTCGCTAGATGCGACTGCTGTTAGTGAAGCGGGCATCAGGCCTGCCGCTGTACCTGCGCCTGGTCACCGATCACCTGCGGCTCTTCACACTCTATGAGCAGGTTGGTGGCTCCTCATCTCCAAGCCTAAGCCACTTCCTGGTCTGTCCCTGATCTCCGTCTCTCACCTTTGCCATCTCTGATTACCCATTCCCCGTCTTCTCACACCCTGCACCCACTTCTCTCCACCTGTCTCTCGCTCCTGCTGTTGCCCCTGCTGTTTCCTTCCCCAACCAAACTGCCACTGCCTCTTCCCACCCCCCATGAAGCCTGCACTCCTTCCCCTCCCAGGTGTCAGAGAGACTTCGCACCCTGCCTGCCACTGTGCCCCTGCTGCTGGACCACATCCTGAGCACCCTGGAGCAGGAGCACGGCCAGGACATCCTCCCGCGAGCGTTGGCCACCCTGGAAGTCACACACAGTGGTCAGTGGTTGGGGCGGGATGGGAGACGGAGGATCTCAGGGATTCTGTGCCTTGATTCAGGTGGGATGTCCCCCAGCAGGGCCAGGCAGGACCTGGTGTCTTGGGGCTGGTTGCACACTGTACTTTGGATTGGGCCTCACAGCGCTTGGGTTCTTAGGTCTGACTGTGGAGCAGCTGCATACAGTGCTCAGTGCATGGCAGAATCTGCCCAAGGGGACTGAGAGCTGGGAGGAGGCCGTGGCTGCTGGGAGCACTGGAGAGCCTTACCCCATGGGCCCGTTTGCCTACCTCGTGCAGAGTCTGCGCAGGTACAGGTGCCCCAGCCCAACTCCCACTGTGCCCAGTCCTGTGCCTTCCATTTGAGCCCAGACCCTTCCTTGATTTCCCCTTCTCTGGGGTGGCTCCAACAACTGCCTCCCAGGCTCGCATCAGATGCTGTGGCTGTCGCCCCATCCTGTCCAAGTGGGAACGAGGCCAACACCAAGCCAGGGTGCTCAGTGACTGCCTCCTTCCTCCCCTCCCCTGCTCCTTCACCCAATTCCCCTGGGCACAGTTTGCTAAGGGAAGGCCCTCTGGAGCGCCCTGGTGCCCGCCTTCAGCTCCCGGATAGACCGCTGAAGACAGCAGCCAGACATCGCTATAGAAAAATGCGAGGTCTGCAGAGCACGGCACACGTCCTCATTGCAGGTGAGCTCAGTCCCATTGGCTGGGCACTTGGTCTGATGCCTGCACCTAGGGCACAGGGCCACCCATGGCTGCCCCTATCTGGTGACCCCAACCCTTGCCATTTCAGTAGGTTGATGACCCTGCTGTAGCCCGAGGGATGGGACCTTGAGGATATCTTAGGGCTGAGCTCTCCTCACTGTCTGGCTAGGGCGGGGGATTTATTTGTGTTGTTTGAGGTATCCTCTCGCTATGTGGTTTAGGCTGGCCTTGAAGTTGCTGTGTAACCCCAGCTGCCGTGAGACGTGTGGTGATCCTGCTGTCTCAGTCTGGAAGTGCGGGGCTGCGGGGCTGTGCCACTATGCCTGGCACTCAGTTCTTTTCCCACAGTTCTACTCTGGAAGGCATGTGACCCTGACGCTTCAGGCTCCTTCCAACACTGTCCTCCACAGGCTCTGGGAGACCTGCCAGGCCACCTGGTCAGTCCCCAGATCCCACAGGCTTCTTTCCCAAGTACCTTCCTTGGCTATTGTTATCTGTTTGATTTTGCATTATTAGCCCTTTATTTTCATTGTGAGACAGTCTCTCTGAGTCCCCTTCGTGCCCAGGCTGGGCTTGAACTTGCCTCCTCAAGCATCAACCTCCCATAGTGCTAGAATTGCAAGTGTGAGCAACCACACCTGGTTTCTTGGCTTATGCTTAGAGCCCTTCCCCCCACCCTATCCCAAGATGACCACTGCCATTTCCCTCCCTCCCCAACTTCCTCCACCCTTTCCCTTTCCGTTTCCCTGTCCTCCTCGAGGTCCTCTAACCCACAAGTGGGTCCAGGTCCTGGCTGCAGGTGTGGGGTCTGGGAGTGGGCAGTGCCTCCTGCCCGCATGAGGCTCCTCAGCAACCTGGTCCCATGGCTGATGAGCACACCCGCCCTCCTCAGCTCCAGAGTGGGAACCGTGCCCTTCTGGAGAAGTTCCTCAGCAGCATGCACGTGGTGGCCGCTCACCTGGACTTGGGCCTGCTGCCCCAGCTCTTGGAGGCACATGCACTCTATGGTGAGACGAGTCCCTGGATGGTTGCTTCTGGGAAGTGCAGGCTCTTGAGTGTGCTCAGGAGAACCCTGCCAAGGGGCAGGAGGAGTGGGAAAAACCAGGCAGGTTTGTCCCCCAATTTGAACAAGCCATTCTCTGGAGACCTTTCCCTTAGGCCTCTTCAGTCACAAGTTCTCATACTTCATTTAGCAGGCAGAAAATCAGCTAGGAAACATGTTCAAATTGTAGATAGTCAGCGCCCCGGATTTGGCTTCCCGATACTGCAGTGGGCCTCAAAGCCTTATGCTACTTTCTGCATTGTTTCCGATGCGGTACAACACGACCACTGGAGACTGTGTTAGAGCATCAGATGTTTGTGTGGGGTGCTCCAGGTCATGGGGTCTGCCTGGCTCCCCAAGGAATCTGCTTCTTTTTCTAGCTTCTTCAGTCCCTGAGGAGGAGCACAAGCTCCCTGAGGCTGCTGTTGCAGCATTCCACACCTTCCTGAGGCAGCAGGCCCCGGTCCTCAGCCGCTACCCCCTCCTTCTGCGCCAGCAGGCCACCAACCAGCCTGCAGACTCCCCTGTGTGCTGTCAGGCCCCACTGCTCTCCCAGCGAGGGCCTCGGCAGCACATGCTGCGATGGCTCAATAAACCCCAGAGCGGGTGGCGTCAGCAGAGGTGAGATCCGCATGTGCCTGCGGGCCCTGGAAACTGGTCTACAGAACAGCTGCAGGCCTCGTGACAGGAGCAAGGATGGGCATGCCCCTATGAGAGTGGGAGGATGTGTCTGATACACGGGTAAGAGTAGATTTCCAGTTGCTTTCCTTCCCTAAATGTCCCTCTTTGCCTGCTCTTCCTCCAGCTCCAGCCTGTCTCTGGCAATTCCCTCATCCCCCACTGCCATGGCCATCTCCCTTAGTGGACTTGGAGTGGCTGTGGGCACTGCCAATGGGACAGTGTACCTTTTGGACCTGAGAACTGGGCAGGTAGGACCCTCGATGATGCTGAAGTTCCCTGCAGAACACCCTCAGGCCCTCCCAGCTGGGCACTCACAGGAGCTCCCTGGTTGATTCAGCAACTTTGTCCCCTTCACTTCAATTCAGAGGGTTTGGGCAGAGAAGCAAATGACACAGCTGGTGCCCGGCTATAATCCAGGCACTCTGTAAAGCTGAGGCAGGAGGAGCAACAGAGTGCAGCCTGCATGCACAACTTGGCAACTGACTGAGATCTCTCTAAAATAAAACTAGGTCTGAGAATGTAGCTCACTGCAAAGCCTGTTGGTTCATTTCCCAGTGCTTGCAAAACAAATTCACACAGCTAATATTTGCAGCCCAGAGTTGATTCCAAGTGTTTGTCTTAGTCACCTTTCTGTCCTCACAGAGACAAAATACCCGACACCCATGGAGAAGAAGGGAAGGGTTATTTAGCTAACAGCTATGACAATTTCAATCCATCATCCAGTGGTTCCAAGGCAAGGTGGCTGGTGGTAGCCAGACAAACATTCCTGGTGGCAGAAGACGCCAAAAGCAAAGAAAGAGGAGAGAAGTACAAGATGCTTTTTGTCACTTAGATCACATGCAGACTGCCTGCCCTGGAGTGGGTGTAGCACTTGTACTGTTAGTGCTGGAAGTAGATGATGAATCAAGAAAAGAGTAGATTTGGCCACTGCCAAAAAGCTCCCCACTCCCCCGGATGGCCATAGGAGGCTTTGGGGAACATCCAGACACAAAGCATCACAGCACTGTAGGTGACCAGAAGCACAAGGTCATTGTGGCTCACGGTGTCTCCCCATGACATAATCAGACTGGGAGAACTGCATTGATGCTGTAATTGAGTGTGTGAGCTCCTGTAGGAAGCAGAAGATGTGGGGCAGGGAAATGAGGCCTCTGGTTGAGTAAGGAGCTACAGCAAGACCAAGGACAGTATTCTCTGTACATTTCCCAGTAGCACTGCAGGAGAGAGAACAAGAGGGCAGTGGTAGATAAGGTAGATGAGGGGTGTCCCACTGCCGTGGCCTCTCCTCATGCGTACCACCCTGTGCGTACATGCATGGGACCCCTTTCCCCAAGAACCATGAAAATCTGATTGGTGAATAGGTGTGGGGTTTGGAGTGGAGAAGATGGGACCGGCTGCCTTGGATCAGGAGTTGCACTTGAACAGGGTTTTGGCTGGGATTGTAGGTAGCCAGGGTCTTGAGCCCTTCTTACCTTGGCCTTGGGCTTGGTAGGGGCTGAAGTGTTGGACACACAAGGTCAGGAAGTGGCCTGAGCCTCTGCTCTCGTCCTGCTCTACAGGAAGAGAAGTCCATAGTGAGTGGCTGTGATGGGATCTCATCCTGCACTTTCCTCTCCGACAGTGCCCTGTTTGTTAGTGCCTTTGATGGGCTCCTGGAGCTTTGGGACCTGGAGCACGGTTGTCGGTGAGGGTCCCCTATGTCTCTGCGTGAGGCCATTCCCTTTTGGAAGCCCAGGGGCAAATAAGTGGGGAGGGAGCCATGGTCACCTGGACCCAGGGCTGACTCTGTCTTCCTGGGATAGGGTGCTGCAGACCAAGGCTCACCAGGACCAGGTCACGGGCTGCTGCCTGAGCCCAGACCGCCGGCTGCTGGCCACCGTGTGTGTGGGTGGGGGCATAAAGGTAATGACAACCTGGCCTACTGAGGGAGGCCCTGTGAGTTTGTCCGCCTTAGCGTGGCTGGGCGGCACACTGCTTGGCCTGGTGACCCCTTGCGGGCTGCAGTAGGGCACTGGACGAGGTGGCTATAGGGCTGTGGAACTGAGCAGCTCAGGGCTGCATGTAGCTCCCCATCTCCTCTGATGTCTATTGCAGCTTTGGGACACGGTCCGTGGGCAGCTTTCCTGCCAGCACACTTGTGCCAAGCCCCTCACCTGCGTTGCCTTCCACCCAGAGGGGCAGGCACTAGCCACTGGCAGCTGGGCGGGCAGCATCAGCTTCTTCCAGGCAGATGGACTCAAAGCCACCAAGGTAGAAGCCCATAGCTCTTGGGGAGGAAGCACAGGAGGGCAGGAGTGCGTGGTGCACGTTTGCCATGGCACCGCTTTGTTGTGCAGGGAACAAACCCTGATGTTTCCTTACTACTTCTCTGTGTAGGAGCTGGGGGCCCCAGGAGCCTCTGTGCGAACGTTGGCCTTCAATGCATCGGGGCAGGTTGTGGCTGTTGGCCGGCTGGACGGGAAGGTGGAGCTCTGGGCCTGGCAAGAGGGTGCACGGCTGGCTGCCTTCCCTGCCCACAGCGGCTTTGTTTCTGCTGTGCTTTTCCTGCACAGCCAGGACCAGTTACTGACAGCCGGAGAGGATGGCAAGGTCTGGTGGCAAGGGCTAGGGTGGGCTGGGAGCAGGGCATAGCTCAGCAGGGAGGACTTAGGGGGGGAGGGGCCTGTGTTGGGGACCCTAGAAGAGATGGGTGGGCGGAGCTACAGGGCGTGGGAATCAGTGTGTGCGTAGTTGTGCTCATAAGTCTGTGGGTCCAGGGCCTTAATGGGGGTGGCTGTCATCTGGGTGAAGACCTGCTAGCCCAGGTGGGATACATTTAATCCTTTTTCTTGGCTCCCAGGTTCAGGTGTGGTCAGGCTCCCTGGGTCAGCCCCGGGGATGCCTGGGCTCCCTCCCTCTCTCTCCTGCCCTCTCAGTGGCTCTCAGCCCAGATGGTGCTCAGGTGGCAGTTGGGTACCGAACAGATGGCATTAAGGTCTACAGAATCCCTTCAGGTACTGAAAGGGCAATGGGTGGATTTTGTAGCTTTGGAAACAGGGCGCCCCCTATGTCACCTTCCTCCATCTCTTCCTCCAGGTCCCCATCGTGTGCAGGGTCGAATGCTAGACATGGCAGTGTCTGCACTGGCCTGGCTGAGCCCCAAGGTGTTGGTGAGCGGTGCAGAAGATGGCAGCCTGCAGGGCTGGGTGCTCCAGGAAGGCGCTGTGCTTCAGGACCTCTGGCTCCTGCCCGGAAACCAGAAGGCGGTGCTGGGCCTGGCCTCCTCCCAGGACCTCCTGGCTTCTGCCTCAGGTACCACTGGGCAGGGCAGGGCATCCTCAGTCTTTCTTTATAGCAGTTGATGCTTTCCTTCTACTAATACTGTACGTACGTATGTGCCTGAAACCACAGATCACAGGTGTTGGTTTTACAGATTTTACAGTGCTATGGATGCATTTATCTTCCTGAATCACTTTACGCGGTTTCTTCTTACTCCCTAAGCCCCAGTCTGGAACTCTGAACTCCCAGCACTGCCTTCTATTTGTGCCTGTGGAAAGGAGACTTTGCTGTAGAACAGGAGGGTTTTTCTGCAAAGAGCTAGGGAGCTGGTGGTGATGCAGAGCCGCGGCCTGGGCCTTCCGGTGAAAGGGTCTCTGGACCGGAGGGAAGAGGTGTACAGAAAGGCAGCCTGGGGCATCAGCCCATACAGGAAGCCACAGTGCTGACTGCAGCTAGGGAGCTGGAGCTGCGAGTGCCAGATGTTCTCAGAAGATGAGTAGCCCTGGCCCAGGGCCTGGCCACATGCTTGTCACTCACATCCTCCCTTGCCTAGAACCCTCTGCCCCATGGTGGCCTCTGTGTGCACTCCCAGGCCTCTCCCGTGTCCTCTCAGGATGCCTTCCCCTCCCTTTCCACTGCAGAGGATTTCACAGTGCGGCTCTGGCCAAAGCAGTTGCTGACACAGCGGCACAAGGCAGGACACTTGCCCCATGGCACTGAGCTCCAGGAACACCGGGGCCCTGTAAGCTGCTGTAGCTTCAGCGCAGATGGAGGCAACCTGGCCACTGGCGGCAGGGATCAGGTGAGCTGCTGAGGGCTGCAGTCCCTGGCTCTCTGCGCACCCCTGGTGGTCCCTTGGTTCCTTCCCAGCCCCTTTTCCCATTGCTTCCTCCTGCCGCTTTCTCTGCCAAGCCTCCTGCCAGGTGCTGCCCTCCTTCCTTCCCTAGAGCTCCTTGCTCTCACGGTCTTGGTCCTCCTGCCTTCTCCTGTGGTTCTGAGGCCTCACTCTCCTTGGACCCATCTAGAGTCTCCTCTGCTGGGACGTGAGGACCCTGGAGAGCCCTCTTCTGATTCACTCCTTCCATGCCTGTCACCGTGATTGGGTCACTGGCTGTGCCTGGACCAAAGATGACCTGCTGGTGAGTGAAGGTGTGGGGCGGCACAGAGTGTGGCAGGATTACGGGAGGAAAACATGTCTTGCCACGTTACTCCCCATGCCCACTGTGGCAGCATGGGTGGCACTTGCTGAGCCTTTCATAGGAAGTAGCCTTGAGCTAAGCTCTCTGCACATATGCCACATTTATTCACACGAGTCTAGGGGCTCAGGGCTAGCAAAGCCGAGTTCCCCAGTGTGAGTCTCTGTGTGGTTGTCTCCCTGCTATCCTCAAAAGGTGGTATGAAGAGTGGATATCATTCTAATAGTTTTGCTGTATTCTTTTCTGCCCCAGCCTACACTTCCTTAGCACTGTGAGGTTTTGCCTTTATCTGGACTTGCTGACTGACACTGTGAATAACAACTCCTCCTGTGACTGTTACATGCTCTGTGTACCGGGCAGAGCACTAAGTCCCCTCTAGAGATGCAGCCAGCCCAGAGCAAGCATTCCAGATGGGAGGGCTGTCATTTCTTTCTCACATAGTTAAGAAACAGAAAACCAAGGCTCAGAGGATCCCCACATTCCAAGGAGATGAAAGGAGGAGCTAGGATTTAGTGCAGAAGGGGCCTGGCTCCTCATCCCAAAGCTTCCTGCCTCCCACACCATGTTATAAACATAGCAAAATGCCAGAGGGGTGCACACAGCCCTACTCCTATCCCCTCTGACTGCAGGTCTCCTGCTCCAGTGATGGCTCTGTGGGGCTGTGGGACCCGGAGTCGGGACAGCAGCTTGGTCATTTCCTGGGTCATCAGAGTGCCGTGAGCACCGTGGTGGCTGTGGTGAGAAAGCAGTAGAAAGATCATGGGGATGGAGGGGTCTCTCTGAGTACACAGTAGGTGTTGGGAGGCCGCTGTGTCGGATGCATGCTCCCCCAGGCAAAAGCCAGGGGAAGAATGAGGTGTGTGGGAGACAGGTGGGAAGATGGAAAGCTCATCTAAGTGCGGTCTCCACGGGCAGGGGTGTGGTCCGAGGCATGCCCTTCCACTGCGCCTGAGCTCTCCTCTCATACTTGGACCTCTTCCAAATCCTGGGTGCTCAGTCTGTTCCTCTGTAGAGGGAGTCCCAGGTCCCTTGTGTGTTCTGATCCTGTGCTCTGGGACAGGAAGAACACGTGGTGTCCGTGGGCCGGGACGGGACCCTGAAAGTGTGGGACCGTGGAGGTGTGGAGCTGACCAGCATCCCCGCGCACTCAGGGCCCATCAGCCAGTGCGCAGCTGCCCTGGAGCCCCACCCAGGTAGTGAAGGATCAACCCCTCCCCTCCCCCTGCCTCTTGTCTGTGCCCTCCCCTTTACTTCTCCTGAGTCATCCTCTTGTCTTATCAGCTGGACAGGCTGGCTCAGAGCTTCTGGTGGTGACTGTCGGCCTGGACGGGGCCACGCGGCTGTGGCATCCACTCTTGGTGAGTGTGCTGCAAGCCCTGGGGCTGTGGGAGGTGGAGCTAAGGACCACTTCTTGGTTGGTCACTGCCCTGGTGCATCTGTGTCCCTTGCTCCTAGGTGTGGCAGACACATACCCTCCCGGGACACAGTGGTCCTGTCAGTGCAGCTGCGGTGTCCCAGCGCTCGGGCCTGCTGCTGACCGCCTCGAGGGAAGGTTCAGTGCACCTGTGCCAGGTGCCTCGGGAAGCAGGTGAGTGCCACCTGGACAGACAGGCGTGCAGGAAGGCTGTGTTGCTAAGGCAGAGAAGCTCAGGGCAGCCTGGTAGCTCAGGTATCCTAGGACTAGCCCAGCACCTAAGGATCACTTCCCTTCTTCCCCAGATGACACCAGTGCCCTGATGAGTTGCGTAGCCATCACTGCTGTGGCCTGGCGACCAGACGGTTCTCTGGCTCTGTCAGGAAATCAAGCTGGGGAATTAACCCTGTGGAAGGACGCCAGGCCTGTGGCCACAGCGCAGGTGACTCGGGACAGCCTCCTTTGCCTATGCGGCTCTGCCCTGGCCATGTGCTTCACGGTATTTGCTGGGGCAGAGGTTGCCTGCGTGCTTGGCAGTGTTGGGCTTAGCCTGGCTGCTCAGAAGTACTGACGTGACCTCGTTGTACACTCTAGGCCCCCGGCCGTGTCAGCGCTCTGCTCTGTGACTCAGCATCCAACTTCTTTGTTCTCAGTGATGATGAAAAGATCACCGAGTGGCACGTGCTCGATTCTCCGGGGCAGAGGGGTTCAACATCCGGGTGAGTCAGGTGAAAGCCGGCAGCTGGGTGGAGGTGATGGGACAGTTCAGCAAATCACTGCCTGTTTGCTTCTGAGCAGGTCACCCAGATGTTGATACTGAGCAGGAAGTGTTTTCTTTCTTTCTTTCTTCTTTCTTTCTTTCTTTCTTTCTTTCTTTCTTTCTTTCTTTCTTTCTTTCTTTCTTTCTTCCTTCCTTCCTTCCTTCCTTCCTTCCTTCCTTCCTTCCTTCCTTCCTTTTTCTTTTTTTTTGGTGGAACCAGGGATTGAATTTAGGCCCTGTGCTTGCCAGGGAAGCACTTATTCTACTGAGCCATCTCCCCAGCCCCAGGAAGTGTTTTCTGCTCATCATCATGTCAGTTTAAGTGAATTTTTCTCAAGTGTGTGTGCCATGCAGATCTCTGGGCCATGTGACCCAGATGCAAATGAATTGTATGGTTGTTTTATTAATATAACTGGAGATATAACCTAGAACTGTACTAAACAACGTCCCCATGTCTTTTCAAACAGGATTGCATTAAGTTTCCTTTAGCCCACTCTAGACTCAAACTTGAAATCCTCCTCCCTCATCTTCCCAGGGGACTGAGTATACAGGCATATGCTATCACATTCAGCTGAGTTTTATCTTTTTTCTTTGGTATATGGTCTTGCAATGCAGCTTAGACTCCTAGTGATTCTCCTGGCTCAGCCTCCCAGTACTGGGATATAGGCGTGCGTCACAGTGCCCAGTTTTGGGGGCCAGCATATCACAGGGCCAATATGGTATGTCATACTGAGATCAAACCCAAATCTTTGCACTTGCCAGATAGATCGCTAAGCTATCTCTACAGCCCTGTGTTTGAATTTTTAACTAAGGAATCTTTCAAAAGGCTAAGAGGCTGAGTAATAGGAGAAATGTAGTAGGAAAGACTTGATATTTGGGGTTGGACCCAAGAATGAATAGGAGTTTTCTAAACCAATGACGGAAGAGGTTGGTGTTTCACCAAAAGGTAGTGTTGCTGAAAGGCACGGAACATGCATCTCTGTAGTGAATTTGTGGTACCGCCAAGCCCTGGGGTTCCTGGAAGGAGGGGGCTGTTGAAGAGCAGGGGAGAGGGTTAGATTGAAAAGGTAAACCGAGCCAAGCTGTTCAGAGCACAGTACTGAGATTTTAGTTGAAAGATGGTGCACTGCTGTAATCCCAATAGAAGGGATGCTGAGGGAGGAAGATTACCATGAGTTCCAGAACACTATGAGCTACACTGTGAATTCAAGTGACCCTGTTTAAAAAACAAAACAAACAAACAAAAAAAAAAACAAAACAAAAAAAACCTTGGAAAATTTTGATACTGATTTTCTTTTGCTTGCTTTCTTTCCTTTTTTTTTTTTTTTTTTTTTTCATACTGGGGATCAAACCCATGGCCTTACACATGATGACACGCATGCATTCTGCTCATGGACAGCGCTGCCAACTTTTCCTCATCAGAACTTTGGTGAGAGGAGCAGGGCGTGATGGAGCACGCCTGTAATGCCAGCACTCAGGAGTAAGAGGGAGGAGGGTCTCTGAGTTTGAGGCCAGCCTGGGCTACATAATGAGACCCTGCCTTGAAAGCCTAAATAATTAATAAATACAAATTGAAAAAGAACTTGAGTGAGAGAAAACCCTGGTGGGAGTATAGAGGATAGATGGATGGTGTGAGAGACCATCCAGCCTTGCTCCCCTGAGAAATGAGGCCCTTTGCCACCATCTTCCCCTGATGTTTCCTTCATCCTGGTTCATGGAGATAGGCGAAGCTGGCTGTATGGAAGCAGATGTTCCCTTGATTGGCCAGAAGAAGGTCATGGAATGCGGCCCATGTGCCCGTGAGTCTCAGCATAGCACAGCGGCGCTCACGGATGAGAATAGCCGCACTGCTGATGGCTGGAAGGAGGCTCCAGCAGGAGCCTGTGAGTGAACAGGGCTAAGGCGTGAGCCCACACCCGTGCTGTTCCCATGGGACACAGAAAGAATGATAACTGCTGGCAGTCAGGGCCAGCCTCGCCTACACCAAACTGGCCATTGCACTGCTAATTGGAGGGCCTCTGTGCCTGGTGCAGGAGTTCACTGCCCCTCCTTACAGCCAGGCCTGCAACGTTCTTCTTACCATGCTGGCTGCTGTTACCCCTCCTCTCACCTCCCTGATGGGTACCAATAGAAGCCTGGGGTACTCAAACTCCTAGCCCTTTGTTCCATTGAGTACATTGGGTCATGGCAGATCCCCCTCAACTGCAGATCTCTCTGTTTTTTCATCCATGTTCCTCATTACCACATAGGAGAATGAGACTCTCTGTGAAGTCCTTTCCACAGTGCCAGTTATTGGGAACTCTGCAATGGGTTCCAGTCTCTTCTCTGGGTTGTAGTACACCATCCTTGGGGAAAGGAAATAAAGAACAAGAGACAATGTAGACGGGTGCATAACAGATCTGGGACCACAATATGCTCTGCAAGAAAAAAGGGCTCCCATCTCCAGCTAGCTAGCATTTTCTGAACCAGTGTAGGGGAGTGGAAGGCTGTTTTCCTGGAATAGCCCAGAGGCCGTGGTACAAGGGTGAGTTGAACATCATAAAGTAAACAAGCCAAGACAATAAGCACACCTAAATGCTAAACTCATTGACCTAGAGGAAGGTGATTTCCAAATTCCAACCTGGCCTACAAGTCAGGCAAGGCAAGATGAGCCTAGGACAGCAGATGTGTTGTTGTACAGTTTGTGGTCACCAGCAGGATAGTGACTGTGACCAGAGGAAGGTGCTGTGCTCTAGGGAAGACAAAGTGCACACCCTGACCTGGGCTCTAGAAATGAGGAAAGATCCCAATATATGAATGTATTGCAGGTGGAATCCACAGAGTTTATTAATCTTTTGAGATTAGGAATACAAGGAAAAAAGAACATTATTGCTTCCCTGTTTGAGCAAGGAAGGGGAGGGGAAGATGAATACTGATGAAAGGAAGGTAGGGGCAGGTGTAGCATACTGGGATCTGGGTTTGATTCTTGACACCATCGAAGTGAAATGTGCCCAGGATGTGTTGGGACGGCAGCACACTTTGCTTTGTACTTCACTTGTGAGCCATGCATGGGGAGCTGTGGAGCCCAAGGGAGGCTGACTGAAGTAAGATCTTTCTTCCTCCATGTTTTTAGCTATAGGCTTCACCTACACCGAGTTCTGCAAGAACATGGAATCCTCACAGGTCTGCACCTGGCCCCTGATGGCCATTCCCTCATCTTGGTCAGTGGGAACTTGGATGTACTACATATGACGCCTGGGAATGATCCGTCTGTCATCGAGTAAGAGCCACAGTGTTTATTCTTCCTATGCTGGAGAAAGAAAAGGTGGTTTAGTGGTTTTCTGAGTTTAACTCGGAGAAACACTGGAATCCTAAATAGAAGTGGTTTGCCTCAGCCACTTATTTTCTTATACATCAGGAACAGCTATGGAAATCATCCGATACTATTGTCTGCCCACAAGGATTACGGGGTGTTCTACCTGAGTACAGTGTCCCCTCAGTCTCTTCATCTCTTGGTAAGTCCTATTGTAGTATGTGCTATACGTTTGTCCAGAGCCAGTACTTTTATATGTTGGGGAGCATGACTGAGGAAAGGCAAGGAATGACAGCAGGGTCCAAATCCCCTTATCCTTCTGTGAGAACATCTACTTTAGAGCCTGAAATACTCCTTTTCCATCTAAGATTTTATTGCAAATTGTTGAAAAAAATCACAGGAAGCAGGGGATATAGCTCAGCAGCATAAGTGCCTGCCTGGCAAGCACAAGGTTCTGAGTTCAATTTCTAGTACAAAAAAATAAATAAATAAAAATAAAATTCACCGGAAATGAGAAACCTAGGAATTTTCTTTCTTCTTTTTCTTTTTTAAGACAGAGTCTCACTGAGTAGTTTGAGTGGGCCTTGAACTCACTCTGTAGTTCAAGTCTGGCCTTGAACTCGGCAATCCTTCTGCCACAGAGCTGGGTGTACAGCATGAACCCCTAGGTACCCCTAGTGTTCCTACTTGCAGTTCCATGTCTGTCTTTGCCTTGTCTCTACATGAGTACCTTCAGGGTAAACACTTCAACTTTCTTGTGGTGTTTGACACCTCCTAGACATGCAGCACTTACTGCCTAGGTTTTGCCAGCACTAGATAGTCAAATCCTCTGGAAGCTGATTAAACCCTGAAGTAATATTATTATTATTTTTTAAAATTTATTTATTTGTGTGTGTGTGTGTGTGTGTGTGTGTGTGTGTGGCCAGCTCAGCCCACCAGGGGGCAGGGCTGGCTGGCATGTGGTGCTGGGGGATTGAACCGCAGTCCCTGTGCTTTGCTAAGCTTGTTCTAAGTAGGTGCTTTAGACCACTGAGCCATCTCACCAGCCCCTGAAGTAATATGATTAAAGTTGTTCACAAAGCATATCAATGACCTGGTAATTCCATTCTGAATTATAAACTCGAGAGAAATAAGTGCGCATGTTGTACAAAAGGTAAATGCAAGATGTCTGCAGGAGTGTTGTTCATTAAGTCCAAAGTAACCTGAATGTTTATAAACAAGAAGAGTGTAAATAATTGTGGTATAGGGGTGATGACATAGCTCAGGGAAATAATTGCTTGCTTAGGCAAATGCAGGGACCAGAGCTCAATCCCTGGCACCGCATGCTGTGCTGGTCCTCCTATCTCCATTCCCTGGGTGCTTTGAGCTGGCCACTGAGACCAGGAGTGGTGGTACATGCCTTATGGTTCCAGTGCTAGGGAGACTGAAAACAGGAGGATCACTATGACTCTGAGCAGCGCAGTGAGATACTGTACCAAATATATAAATGTGGTATATTTGTGCAGTATAATAGTACATGGCATGAAAAAAGTGATACTGGGTATCAGTGACAGAAAGAACACAATCTTGGCAGGGTGGTACACCCCAATAGTCCCAGCCCTTGAGAGGCAGAGGCAGGAAGATTGCCATAAGGTTGAGGCCTGCTTGGGCTACATAAGTGAGTTCAAGAACAGCCTGTATCATGTAGTTGATTCTGTCTCAAAATATAAAAAAGGAAGAACACAGACTTCTTGCCATAGCCATTATCCTGGACCGAAGAAGCAAGACACAAAACATCCTATATAATTTTATTTAAGTAAAACTTGAGAATAAGCAAAACTCATGGTGACAAGAGCCAGAATATTGTTACCTTGGGGGAGGCCTCGTACTGAGCATGAGAGGGCAACTTTTGGTGTGACAGAAGCATGCTGTCTATTGAACTAGGGGTGATTGGGTAGGTAAGTACAAACATCTCATGGACTAGACACTTAACCACTCTACCCTGTACTGTGTCCATGGCTTAGTTTGGTTTTAGAAAGTTCTGGTCATCCTGGAGCAGAGCAGTGTTGCTTCCCCTGGCAGAGTCGTGTGCGATGGGCAGGCTAACCAAATTTACCGGTCCTTTCACAGAAGCAAAAGGAGACAGGAGAGTTTGATGGCTCTGTGCGCTATTACATGTGTTATGAGGATGTTACTAAGACCCCAGTGCTGACTCAGGCCAAACCCGAATCTGGTGAGTGGGCTGGGAAGACTGGAGGGGCCCTGAGATGCCTAGGGGAGGCAGGCTGATACTGGGCGGTGCAAGACAGTGGTTCCAACCCTGCATTTAATATGGCAGAGTCCACGTTCCTGTGTGCCAGCTCTGATGGAGTGCTGTGGACCCTGGCTGGATGCACCCACGGAGGAGAATGGAGCACGGGCAACATCTGGCAGACAGAAGTGAAAGCACCTGAAGCCCAGGCTTCAGGGACAGACACAGCATGTGGCAGGGC